CTCTTGCTCAGGCTGGTCTCCAACTGCTAAGCTTAAGATCCACCGGCCTTGGCCTCCCAGAGTGCTAGGATTACAGGCATGAGCCACTGTGCTGGGCTGCAGCTAATGTTATTTTAATGCAAATTATTGGTAAACAGAAATTGCCTCTTCTTTTCCTTCAAAAGCCTGCTGATTGGAAGGTAGCAGTCCAACTCAATCAAGTTACAAGGCCAGATGTAGAGCAATTGCTAAAGTTTATTTGGCACCTAAATGAGGATGGACTGAGACTCAACCCCAAAGAGCAAGAAGGCTAATCTTTTAAAGGTTTTAGGGTGTCATGGCTCACGTCTGTAATTTTAGCACTCTGGGAGGCCAAGGCAGGTGGATTGTTTGAGCTCAGGACTTTAAGACCAACCTGAGCAAGAGTGAGACCCCTGTCTCTCCTAAAACTAGAAAAATTAGCCAAGCATCATAGCAAGTTCCTATAGTCTCAGCTACTCAGAAGGCTGAGGCAAGAGGATCACTTGAACCTAAGAGTTTGAAGTTGCTGTGAGCTATGACACCATAGCACTCTACCTAGGGCAACTGAGTGAGACTTTGTCTCAAATAAAAGAAAAGGTTTTAGGCAGGGGAGGAGGAGGGTATTACTTTGGTGTACCAGCAGCTGTTGCCAGGTATGGTTTTAGCTGGCTTCCCATTGAGACTGTTCTGTTCGTTTGTTCTTTAGCTTCTCCTGGAGCCATTGTGTCCACTAGTTTCTCCTTCATTGTGACTGGGTCCCAGAAGGGGGTGGCTTCAGCAGAGGTCACTGAATGGCTAAGATGGAGTACTTTATGTTCAAAATGGAGTGGCCTATACTTGCTCTGTTTTTGGAGTTCCTCCAACCAGCCTATCATTGGTAACTGTTACTACTCAGTGTATATTTAGGCCAATTGATCTGTGCTCCCTGACTGGAGTCATACAACTTGGCCTAAATAAAGTCTCTACTTAGTAAGTTTGCCTCAGTTTTTTTCCTTTAGGTTGACACCATACTAACAGGTGTGAAATGATATCTCGTTGTGGTTTCAATGTGCATTTCCCTGACGATTAATGATGTTGACCACTTTTCATATGGAATATGAATGGATGAGAGAGAAAGTAAAGTTCCCTTGTATACTGTTGGTGGGATTGTAAATTGGTACACCCACTATGGCAAACAGTATGAATGTTCCTCAAAAAACTAAAAATATAGAACTATCGTATGATCCAGCAGTCCCACTTTTGGGTATATATTTGTGTGTAGGAGGGCAGTATTTACTTTGCAATGTGGTAGAATAAAAGCTTGGGGTTTCTGAGTGGTTGGGGCTGGTGTTGTTGCAGGGGGCCCCTTTGTGAGAAGCCCTGTAAAGACTGAATTTCTCAGGTGGCCCAGAGGCTCCAAAAATGATGTCCCCAAGGCCTCAGGGGCTATCCTGGCCCCCAAATTGGGAAATGAAATTAGTATCTTAAAGAGATACCTGCACTCTCATAATCACTGCAGTATTGTTCACAATAGCCAAGACATGAAAACAATCCAAGTGTCCCTTGACAGATGAACGGATTTAAAGAAGTGTGATATAAAGACACACACACACAGAGGAATATTATTCAGCCTTTAAAAAGAAGGATATCCTACCAGTTGTCACAACATGGATGAACCAAGAGCATGGTAACTATATATAATACAT